AAAGATACAAATAAAATATCTTCGACGCCTTTAACTGATAATAATGATGACGATGATGATGATGAAGATAATACTTTACCAACAATTGTACCTTTAAATAATTCATGGTTTAATACGACAAATGATTCAAATAGTTCGACTAGTCCAATTAGTTTAGCAACATCATCAACAAATATTATCTCTTTAATCGACGAACAAAAGCCTACTCTTTCGATATCTACATTTAGTTCAAGTAGTAAAAAACGAAAATCTATTCCACAAAAAATTATTACTACGAAAAAAGTACATAATGAATCAATAACTGAGAATGATAATTATAATGACACAAAACTATCAAATCAAACAACGAATGAATCAACAAATTCTGTTGATACTAATACTTAACAAAAAAAATGTATTTTTATTTAGCCAAGGTGATATTAGAAAAAAAACCAATTGGTGATTTTGTAATTTTCTTCTTCTTTCTTCTTTTTAATGCTCAACATTTTTTGTTGTTGTTATTGTTCGTTTTGTTCTATTATATATATATATTTGTGAGTATCGCTCAAGTATTAAAACTAGTCGGGAACAAACCCAGCTGCTTTAACAACTGCATTAAAAAAAATACAAACAAAGAGAATGGCGTGATATATGGTTGTTTCGTTTTCTTTTCTTCAGTTCTTTTTCTTTTTTTTGTTTTTTATTTGAACAGATTATAATTTTTGTTTATATTTCGATGTTGTGTGCGCGTGCAATAAATGAGAAAGAATACAGTATATACATCTAACAAAAGAATACTAAATATCGAATGATTTACTAACATTCCACCGTTTTTATTGTATTTAACGAAAACAAAATTTTGTGAAAAAAGTTTAATATGTGTGAATTATGATTTTTTTTTGTTCGAATATTGATAAAATTTTTCTATTTGTCTTTTTTGTATAATATTGAATATGCTTTCGATTTATTTATTTCAGGTTCAAAGACAGAGAGAGAAAAGAAAGAAAGAAAGAAGAATATCGTATATGGTGATAATAGGATTTTCTTTTTTTTATCCTCAAATTTTTTTTCGTATGTGTGGAAAATAAAATGAATGTTTTTCATTTATTTAGAACGATTTCATGAACTTGATAAACGTTGTCGAGATTTTGAAAATGCAAATAATGAATTAAAACAATTGAATATTCAAGTTGAAAAAGATTTATTATGTGTTGGTGGTGTTACTGAATTATTTCGACGAGGACCTGAAGTGGAT